ATTATTATTATTATTTCTTTTTGTGGAGGTTTCCAACTCAAGTATCAGAGCAGGAATTTCTGAAATATGTCATAACGATCATTGTAGTCTCAAACCCCTCTTTAATTTATGGGGATACTAGGGCCTGAGTTATTGGGACTGCTGGTTAAGCCACACGGTTCCTGATAGATGTTATGTAGTTTGGGTTTCCTGATAGAGCAGACAGTCTACAGTCTTTCCCATCATACTAGAAGCAGAATGTTCCTAGGAATATACTCTCGTAAGTGATGGGCTCATGGTCACATAAAAGAAACCTTTGTAGTCTGATTCAGTGAAAACCAGTTTTTCATACTGGAAAGAATTTAGGACTTGATCCAGACTTAGAATCTGACCTAGCCATTGATGAAAAAGGTATTAGGAAGTGTACTTAGTCATTCTGAATTAGTTTTCTCATCTGTGAAATGGACTAGTAATTCCGATGCTATAATGTTTTAAGAAATTAAGTGCAATAATTTAGTAAGTTTAGAACATGATTAATAAGCAAGAGCTATGTTTTTAAAATGATTTTCTGTACAATTATTTAAATGTCATTTTTTCTCTGACATACTCTTATTTATTTTAGTTCTTCCTTATAAAACGAAGGGACCACATGATGTGTTTAATTGCTTTTCTTTCTCTCTAGACAGTTTGAAATTTATTTGCACGATCACCAATATTCCTGAGGAGTCCAGTCATTTACTTATGGGGAATGTTCCTCTTTATTTCTGAGAGCTAAGCATTTGGTTGTTGTATCCCTTTTGCACTCATAACAGGTCAACTTGGTGTCAAGGTCATTGTCGGACATTTTCTAGTGTTCACTATCATCTCAGGATAAATATCTGTGTATTTCCAAGTAACCAATATCTATAGCATGTTCAAAGAGCAAAACATGAAGTGCAGGTTGATAACTCCCTCTCCTGCTTCATGGCGACTAAAATAATCTGGGCATAAGACCCAGGTAGCTCTTTAGTAGACCAGCTTTAACACAAATTGTTATTAATGAACCAAGACTTGGGATTAACAAATATGTCTTCTACAACTCTCTTCATGCTTTTACCAGAAGAGTAAGTCTGGTATGGAAGGTTCTTCTCTCTGACCCAGCACTACTGAAAATTTCTTAAAATTGTCATGAAACTTTCTCCATTAATTATGCCCCATACTCTACCTCTTTACTTTTCCATGCATGCTTTATCTGACTCTCAGAAATTTCCCTTTTCCTTCCAACTAGGCTGATTAATTTGGTGCAATAAGTACTTCAGGAAACACATACATATTGAGGAATAATTATTTTTACTGAACTTTTGCCTTTTCATAATTTTAAATTTGTATGCATTCTCTAATCTAATTAGGCTGTGAAATGTTTAGGGGCCACACTTAGCTATGAACCTTTTCCTATCCCATTTTCCTACTGGAAATTCACACACAACTGAAGAGCTGACACCTACAGGAAATGGTGCAGAACATGTCTCCCTCAGCATCTCAGCCTCCTCCCTGAGGAACCTGCCTCACACACCCTGCCTCAACTACCTGGAGAGAAATGAGGTACATGTGGAAAGAACAACTCAATGAGTGCTCATATTGCCAGGGGAGAAAATCTTGGGGGTGTGAGTATAAATTGCTACAGAATCCCAGAGAGCCCTCAAGTGGAATTCACATTATTCTCCCTTGGGTTTATTGGATGGCTTGGATCGGGTTCCGTCTTGTACCTGGTCTTCTCAATTCTGCCCCTCCTCTTCAGTGACTCACTATTGTGACCTTGCCAGGACTTAGTTCCTTGACTCAGGCGCCAATGTGCTAGTGGTTTAGAGCTTCAACTTTAGCCTGATTCAGGGCATCTGAGAACGCTGAGCCCCGGTGCTCTGCTCTGAGTTTCTGTATAATGCCCTCTAAATTCCAGAGAATTTTTTCAGCACTATGGCTCCTTGGGGTCCTGTCTCTATTGTGGTGCCCACCTGTCCTGTGTGGTGAGTACAGAACTGTGAGAAAGAGCAGATAGTTTAAATCAATATCTAGAGAATTCTGATTAAGAATTAACCAAATGGCTCTAAATCAGTACAATTTTTGGATAAAGACAATGAAGTACATTATCAAGAAATGCATTTAAATAGTTTTATTCCTTTCAATATATTCTATAATTACTTGAAAAGCTTACAAATCCTTGAGGAAATGATCTAGCAGAAAAAAATTAATTTTTATGTAAGCGTATGATATTTAAATGAATACTCATAAATATAGAAGTTAATTTTTTTCTGTAGGCTCTACTTCTTTTACATTAAGGATTGTGCAGAACATATTCATCATTGAGAAAGTAAAATTTTAAGTTATTATAAATAATGAGTTCATTTATTGGAGTAAAATTACAAGGCATTGCATAAACTGATTATATTGTTTAAGTATGGGGTATTGAGTTATAATTTAGAGAAGAATTGTCCCTAACTGATAAATACTGAAAGGGTTTGTGAGGACCTATGGGTCCCACTAGGATAGAACTGGTTATAAATACATATAATTGTTTTCATTTATAAACAGAAGTATGATAAGAAAAAGTAGTATTTCTTATTTTTCTGATATTTCTTTTTAAGAGAAAAAATTACTAAGCATATTAAAAATATTTACATACATACCCCTAATGCTATCTATCACAGCATTTAAAGTAGATCATTTTATATTGGATTTCAAACTCACCCAACAGAGAAGAAAATATTGCATCAATAGCTTTGTGGGTTCCTATGGAGACTACCATTCATATTCAAGTAATAGAGGGTATTCTCCAATTCTGATGATGAAAGAATTAAATGCCAAGCCTTTGGAGTCTTTTTGTGTCTCTTTGTATAGAGACAATTTGTCAGGATTTCTAGGGCCCCAGAATGATTCTATGTTGTCCAGACTTTGAACTTTTCTAATATCGCAGAGTAACTTCAGAGCTATTTTCCTAAGGATGGCATAAGAATATTTTACTTTAAAAGATTTTTACACCCAAATAAACTTTGTTTTAAGGGAAAATTAAGATTAGGTAAAATAATTCCTTTACCCTGGATGATTCTGCTGTCTTGGGAATTCAGACGGCCGAATCTGCTATTCTTCCAAAGCCCTTATCAAGTCTAACCCTCATGATCTTCCCTGAGCAACAACCCCTTGAACTTCCAGCACTCCTCTTCCTTACTAAGTCAGGGAAGGCAGAATACATCCAACAGGTCACAGAGTGGCGTGATGCTTGAGGTTTCTCTGCATTTATCCTTCACCCTTCCACTCCCTCAATATGCCACCTTATCCTGGTCCATAGCCCTTAACCCAAATCAGTGTAAGTTATCCCCAAATCAATGTCCATCTGGTTTCTGAGCTTGCTTCCTTTTCTTGCACCAATACAACTTTCTGTGGTCTCTAAACCTTTGCTTAGACTACTACCTTGGCATGAATACCTGCTATATCTCACCCATTTAAGCAGTTTTATCTAAACCTCAGAATATACTTCCAGACTCTTCTAGGAAATGTTATCTTATCCTTTTCTCCCTTTGTGCATTATTTCTCCTTCCTTCCTTTCTTCCTTCCTTCCTTCTTTCCTTCCTTCCTTCCTTCCTTCCTTCCTTCCTTCCTTCCTTCCACTTTTCTTGCTGGCCACCCTTGTCTTTGGACCCATATTGTGGTTTTACTATTCATGTGGTCATTTCTTATTTTCTTACATTATGACAATGGTATGGCTTGTTGAGTGCTGAACAGACTTATGTGGATGAATTACAGAAATATTTTTTGTATTAATTCAGAAAAAAAGGCTTTTTCTATTGAATGTGTTTCATTTGATGTTTAGGAAATTCCATTTGTGAACCTGAGACTGGTACATAGGTGCGCACTTATTTTGGACCTTCAATGTCAAGAACAAAGATATACAGAGACTGGACACATATTCCCTGTTCTCCCTGTAGTTGGATATGAGATGTAATAAGTAGTTGGATACAATATGTAATCTCTTCCTAATAACTGCTGTAGAAGCTGGGAGAAATAAATGATGACTGTTTACTGAAGAAGTTAGAGAACCCCTTCATAGAACAAATGGGCCTTGAGGGGCAGAGAAAGAAAGAAGAACAACATCTAGGTAGGAGAGAAGATATGAGCACAGGTAGAGATTTGGGAATTTGATGACATACTTGGGACCAACAGCTAGATGAATCAATTAACCTAGGAAAAAGACACCTATAAAAATAGTGATCTTTAAGGTTGAAGTATCTATGAGAAAATCCAGAATATTAATATTAATATTTCTAAATATTAATGTGCTGGAAAATGTTTTTAAATTTTAGTTTCTACTAAATTTATATTTCTGAAACAATCGTTACTTGGTTTCAACTCTAAGAGGGAATCTTACAAAGTACTTCACCTGACATTCCTATTCCTCTGTATTCTTAGCTTTCTCATGCAGTGTTTGTGGCTCCTGACAGTGGTCCCTTTCAGAGAGGTGCTCTGCACCTTGTCTTCTTTATTATTCCAATGTGCAGGTTGCCATTTTTATTCCTCTCATGAACTCTTCTTTAAAAGAGTTATCTTCTTGGTGGAGGTGCATGGTTAGCTTTGATTGGGCAACCAGGACTTAGGCATTGCGGATTGATTTAACATCTTTACAGTTTCTCATGGATGAGCACCTTTACCTTTATCCTGAAACAGATTAACCATGCCCCTGGTAGGATATGACTTAGGGCTGAATCCAGTCTTCATGCTAAAAATGGTTCCTAAACAAGGTGAAGTTGGGTAGATACATGAACCAACTGAACAAAAGGGAGCCTTAGGGCTCACAGCTCTAACCTTGCTAGTTCCTCAGCCCGAGGCTTACAGGAGGGCAGCACAAGTGTACTGGTTTGGCCAAGTGATCTTATAGGTGGGGAAGTTGGAAGGACAAAGTGAAGCCTTCTAGGAACTACACAAACCCTGGGATGTGCTGTTTTGCACATTCTAGAAATTCACACTCTCTCACTTTCATGTCTCATCATCAGGTTGCAATTTTCCACCTAGCATTGCCCACGGACGTCACAAACGAGTTACTTCATACAATTTCTTCAAATATAAGATTGCATATGAATGTGATAAAGGATACCAACTGGTGGGACCAGCAAAACTCTCCTGCAGTTCTTCTCAGTGGTCACCGGAGCCCCCTCAGTGTAAAGGTAACTCAGCTCTCTCCTCTGCCCATGACAAATGCTGGTGGAGCTGTCGTGAGACAATCAAGATGAAAGTCCTTCCTATGAGAGGCAGCTATGAAAACATTTGATTTATTTAAAATGATATATGCATACGGTACACCATGCACAAAGCACAAAGAACCTACACAAATATGCCTCCCCTCCACTTTTTTCTCCAAGTCACAAAGTTGAACCTCGAGATGGCTCCTGCTCTTGGTTTCTCTTATATATTTCCTGATTTCAGAAGCATCACTTTTTATGTGAGTGTACCTGTGGTCCTGAGAAGAATCTTCAAGGAAACTTGTTCAAACACGAATGTAGGCTCTCCTGGAATAATTCCAAATTTCATAAAGCGATAGATATTTCCATCAGAGTTAAACACAGGATACCACCTGCTATGATGCAGGTGTGTATGTGAGAGAGGGACTTCTGGTTCACAGGTTATTGGGGGTCAGGAGGAGTCACGATGAAGTCTGACTTTTGCAGGCATCACTTATTGGCCAGCATTGTCTCCATTGCACATGGAATAAAAAGCAAGAGGGGAAATTTGAAACATAGGCTGTGAGGGAGAGCTACTTTGATAGTTAAGAACCTGGGGTCAAATACATTTATTTACCTTCCATCCCTTTATTAAAAATCTCTATGACCTAGGGCAAGTTTCTTACCCTCTCTGTATCTCAACTTTCTCCTAGATAAAAATGGAAATATAACAGTACTCATTTCATAGGGTTATTGTGAGACCTAAAGGAGACAGTCACATAAGGTACTTAAAGTGAATCTGAGAGGTAGCTATGCTTAATAACAATAATATCATTGTTACAAAAATGGAAAAAAGAACAATTAGCACCTAAACAAAGTTCATTCTTATTATTGTCTACCATTGTTATTATCATATCTTTTTTCTTAGATTTACAGATTGCCTAAAAATGTGTTTCCATTATAGCTCTCTGTTTGAAACCAGAGATTGAAAATGGGAAGCTGTCTGTGGATAAGAATCAGTTTCTTGAAAAGGAAAGTGTCACCATCCAGTGTGACTCTGGCTTTCGAGTGGTGGGTAGCCCAAGGATCACCTGCTCACAAAACAGAACCTGGCACCCGGAGGTGCCTGAGTGTGAGTGGGTAAGTGGCACAATTCAAGGAAATTCTGTGCTGTCGAACTATAGAAATGGTGGCCCCCACCAAGCTCTCTCCCAGCCAGTAATGCTAATATCTGGCTTTTTAGGATTCCTTTCTGAGTCATTCAAAAAGCTCTTTGTTTTTTCCTTGAAGCACCTTTAGGAGTGGTAAGTTTTCCAGTCCTTGAGAATGGGAAACACTAAACCCCATAGAGAGCAGGGCTCATGGACCCAAGAGTACTGACTCCATTCCTATGGACTTTCTAGAGACCACACAATATGCTATTGTTCTCCCTCTGCATGATCAGCAGAAATAGCCTCTACCCCTTTTATCTGGGCAGCAATCTYAGAATGTACCTGCGTTTTCTGGGAAGACTTTGGTGGGCCCCAACACGATTTCTGGTTTTCTCTGCTCTACCACCAGTCTGGGATTGGTCTTGGTTCTGAGCATCAGGATGTATCTCCTCATGGTTTGGTGAGATGATTCTTTACCACGCCCACCATCTCTGTCTCTTTCAGGAGGTCCCTGAAGGCTGCGAGCAAGTACTTTCTGGCAGAAAACTCATGCAGCGTCTCCCAAGCCCAGAGGATGTGAAAGTGGCCCTGGAAATGTATAAGCTGTCTCTGGAGACGGAACTACTGGAATTACAGAGATACAAAGCAAGACAATCTGTTCTGGAGACACCGYTGTAATTTTCCCAAAATAAATAGAAAAAAAGATGGCTGACTGGCTTGCTGCCTGTCAGTTCAATGTGAATCACTTCAGTTTAGCAATCCTACTATGTCTTTGACACCAATATTCAAGAAATTAAATATTCATATATCAGAACTACTTCATCTTTGTGGTCATTTAAGATCCCAACAAATGATTATCCCAAACAATCCCATTATATAGCTTAATGTTTTTATTTACTGTGTAGACCTAAGAAGTGTGTAATTGGGGGTCACACCTAGGTGACCCTGGACTCCACAGTTCCACATGTGCTTATCACTCAGGCCTCCAGGACACAGATTGAATGTCAACGCACCCTAACCCCTGTCCACTCCTCCCCACTTTAGAGAGTCATACCCTCCTTGAACTCACGCCACCTCTTTCACTCCCACCACATCTCCACTTCCATAATGGGGATTTGCATCTGGGTCTGACCTCCTTCTTCCCACACCAGGGAGGGAACTCCAAAAGACATATAGGTGTGAAGCCCACAGGTCAGCCACCTCCTATTCCCAAATCTTCCATTCTRTTTGGTCACCACTTGCCTTAATATTAAAATGTATTCTTGAGCAACCTTTGCACACATGAGGAGAAACCCYAACCCGGTGCCAACCTCCTTCATGTCTCTGGGTACCCTGGAGACTTGTATTTCTTCCAGGCATCACTCCCTCGGCCTCTTGCTGCCTCTGAAGTCTCTTTTGCCTTCCTTTGCCAGCACCTCCTGCTRCCTCTTCTCTCCTTTATGCAGAAATCTGGAGATCATTAGCCTCTTTGACTTAATTCCCCCAAGCATAGTAAAAGGGGGCCATGGTTTCGCAGGCTTCACTGAACTTCAGATGTGACGTTGTGGCTTGAAGGGCTAGAGAATCCCACCCACCATGGAAGGTATCAACCCATGATCTGAAGAGCCACAACCTACGAGGCTGCAGGAATGCCTTTGATGTTCATCTTTGGGTTTTCCTGAGACAATAATTGGTGGGCCACTAGTTTCTTTGGAAGGTGGCTCTAGAAAGCACCTGAGTGACTGGATAGCAGGGAAAGACGGAAAGGTAACAAGAAACCACTATGGAGGGGGCTGCTGCTRTTGCTAACAGAGCCTCGGTCATGCTGTCAGCCCTCAGGGAGTGTGTGCATCCATGGCAACTTGCCCCTCCTGATCTTGAGGACCTGGGTGTTTCCCTCCCTGACTGGTGAAGAGCTGCTCCAGCAGCCCTGACCCACAGGCACAGGGGACTCACACTGTGCACCAGCAAAGCAGGCTCTGGGGACAGGGATCACCCTCAGGCAGAGGCACTGATAGCCAGTGGYGCCCATGGCTATATGCAGTGACCTCCAGGGTAGGCCAAGGGCACAGGGGCAGGGCAGAGAGGGCCTCCTCTACAGTCGCCTTCTCTGTGTGGTCTCATTGATTGACATGCTGTTCCAGCCCACCACACTCTCCCTGCACAGATCTCATTTCCCTTGTCAGATCCTGGGGTCATTAGGCCTTTTCTTTCCCCTGACACAATTGCTTCACTTTGTAGAGTGAGCTGTGTAGTTTCTCATCTCACATTGTGCTCTGGGCCCAAATAAAAAATTTATCAAAGCGGCCTACAAAACAACTTAATTAAAATTTACTGGCAAGTCAACAGTCTACTGTAACAAACTTGATTCCCCATCTTTGCTTTTTTGTTTTTTTCTGAGCAAGAGGATGTATCATGAGCTTCCGTGGCACCTCAGACCTCCTCCTTATCTTAGTACCCGAGATTGAATTAGGGGCCCTTGACCACTGAGCCACATCCCCAGCCCTATTTTGTATTTTACTTAGAGACAGGGTCTCACTGAGTTGCTTWGCRCCTTGCTTTTGCTGAAGCTGGCTTTGAACTCTTTATCCTCCTGTCTCAGCCTCCCAAGCTGCTGAGATTACAGGCCTGCGCCATCACACCTGGCTTCAGACTTTCTCTTATTAGGATCTTCATTTCTTCTCAATGTTTRAATGCCTTGTGAAGTGTAATTTTCACCCTTTGAACATTATGTATCAAAAATATGATATAAAAAAGTGAATGGAGGCTGGGGTTGTGGCTCAGTGGTAGAGTGCTTGCCTAGCACATGTGAGGCCCTGGGTTCAATCCTCAGCACCACATAAAGTTAAATAAATAAAGGTATTGTGTCCAGCTGCAACTAAAAAAAAAATTAAAAAAAAAACAAGAGTGGATGAAACTATTAAAGGTGGAGGAACTTGTTCATCTTATTGCTCATTAATAGAAGGAAGGAGGTGATTCTGGAGATTTTACACTAAAATTTTTGAATAAATTTTAGAATGCACAGAAAAATAACCACCATTGGCTTCACCAGGAGGTGGGCAGATATACTACTTTCAAAAAACTGAATTGCCAGCAGCACAGATTTCCAATAGCAGGAACTGCACAGTTGTAAACAAAGGCAGTGAAATGTGTATCCACTGTGCCTGTGTCTGTGGCTTCTTGCAGTGCTTGGCCTTATCTGCTTCCAGTGACTGGAGGAGAGGACACTGGCCAGTTAATCAGGGTTAGATGTGGATAGGAAATCTGTTACTGTTCCCCTCACTCACTCTTGCTAATTCTCACTCACCTTCTCCCTCCAAGAGTGACCACCCCCTCTTCTCCCTCTTCTATCACCACACCTCACCAAGGAAAGTCTTCATTCATTAAATAAAAATTTTAAATGTTAACTTCTTTTTTACCCCATTTTGAAGTGCTAATAGAATWGGTTTTATATCTTTAGTAATCTTTAAGTATTTCAGTGCTCATTTACATTAGAATAAATGTTTTTTGAGGAGTGGAATGAAAACCTAATTTGTAATTTATATTACCATATCATTATCTTTTGCATGCAAAAACTCACTGAGTTCCTTGAGGTGAGGTAACAAGATAATTGATATTTTAAGCACGTTATATATTCAGACATCCTTGGTGGATTGTTGTGTGTATATTCAAAAATTTTTGCAGATATGTGATTAATCAAGTGGGGGAAGAAGAAGAAAGAGAAGGAGGAAGAGAAGGATGAGAAGGAGGAGGGGGGAGGAAGAGGAAGAGGAAGAAGAAGAAGAAGAGGAAGAAGGAGGAGGAAGAGAAGGGAAGAAGAAGAAAAGGAGAAGGAGGAGGTGGGGGGAAGGAGAAGGAAAAGGAGAAGATCTCATGAGGGAAACTATAAAGAGGTATCATATGGACATGGGACAGTTATGTCATCCAAAGGGCAAAAGATCTGTGATATTGATAAATACCTTCCATCATCCAGGGAAAGTGAGGTCTTCCGGGCGGTGTTCATTACCTTACTTCCGGGACTCTGTAAGAGGTCAGAGTAGCTGTCCATGGTTCTGGTAAAAACCTGGGTAAAACAGCAAAGAGTGAGGAGGGGAGGTTGCCCAGGGGTGCTGAAGTGGAGGGGCCCCAGTGACACTGACAGGACATGGGGARTGTCTGCTATGCCACACACCATGCCACACACCATGCAATGGATGCTCTCGGGTCTGTAAACTCAGCATAGTACTCTGTCTTTGTTTCTAGGATATTGTTCTCCTCTTTCTTGATTTATTTCCTTATTTTATTGGAGCAGGAGTTGCCTAAGAAATGATGCACAGGAAGTAAAATATTGAACTTGTGCATATTTGAAACTCTCTTAGTCCTCACACCTGACTGATAATAATGGCTGGGTGTAGAAAACCGAGTTAAAATAATTTTGTTTTACAGAACATATTTGTTTTATGGTTTCTAATATCTCAATGGAAGAGTCAGAAGCCATTTTAATTCTTGATTGCATAAGAGTGTTTAAATCCTTTCTCTTGAACAAAGAAGCTGAAGCATCTCTTATCCTGAGAAATTTTGATGCTACAGTTTGTTCAGTCATTTTCTCTTCAGGTTCTTATTTATTTTGAAATGTTTTTTTTCTTTTATAAAGCATTTTTTTGTTGTGTATGTTTGAGGTTTACAACATAGTTTGAAATACATATACATAGCAAAATATTTACTATAGTGAAGCAGAATAACACACTTGTCTTCTCATATAGTTACTTTTGGTGTGTGACAAGAACAGCTCAAATAATTTATTTAATAAAACATAGATTATAACACAATTTCTTTTCTTTTTTTTTGTTGTGTGGGGGGGTACCAGGTATTGAACTCCTTTCCCCTCCTCCTCCTCTTCCTCCTCCTCCTCCTCTTCTTTGTATTCTTCATATTCTTCTTCGTATTCTTCTTCTTCTTTTTGGTGCCGGGTACCATGGAATGAATCCAGGGGCACTTAACCACTAAGCCACATCCCCAGTCCTTTCTATTATTTATTTTGAAACAGGTGCTCACTAAGTTGCTTAAGGCCTCGCTATGTTGCTGAGGCTGAACTTGAATTTTTGATCCTGCTGCTTTAGCCTCCTGAGTTGCTGAGATTAGAGGTGTGTGCCACCATGCCTGGTGATGATAGTTATTTTGAGTACTTTTWTTTAGTGGTACAACATCTTTATTTTTTTAAGCATCAGAAATTTATTGATTGCTCAAAACATTATGTTGGTCTTGACATATCATATATCATACATTTTGAGTACTTTTTTATTTAGGATATTTTTCAGTCTTCTTTGGAGAAATGGCTATTCAGATTCTTTGCCCATTTTTTTTCAGTTAGCCTATTTGTCTTTCTGTGTTGAGTTGTAAGAGTTCTCTAATATAAATTTAGGTACTGACCTCTTATCAGATATGTAGTTTGCAAATATTTTTCCTAGTCTATATGTTGCCTTTTCTTTTTTCATTATTTCCYTTGCTATACAGAAAATTTTTAGTTTAAGGTAGTCCCCTTTACTTATTTTTGCTTTTGTAGCTTGTGCTTTTGGTATGATATCCAGAAATCATTGTTAAAGCCARTAGAGAAAAAGCATAAAAAATTGATAAACCTAAAAAAGATGGTGGAATGAGATTTACATCATTACCCTAACATATAGTATCTTCTAGGATTTTTATAGTTTCAGATCTTTCAT